GGTATCAATGCCAGGCTGACAGAGTAGTAGTTGAGTCCTCTCCGCCTGCCTCCCCCAAACACCCCTTTAAAGTTGGGGGCAACATTTGCTTTCTTCCAGTCTGCTTTACTTTATCCTGTTCTCCAGAAATGTTTAAAGATTGCCAGTGGTTCTGAAATGTCTTCTGACAGTTTTTAAAATTTATTGTGTTTCCAAGTATATATTAACTATTATAATTAGTGCTTGCTTTAAAAGTTTATACTTTAATTTCTCCTAAACTATCAAGTATTTTTTTTCAATAACTAGGCACCAGATTAAATATATTTTTATGTAGCTCCTAAAAATGTAATAATATGTATAGGTCATACATACCTCCTCCCAAAGAGGAGGTAAAACAATTCAAGAATCCCATTTTGTACAAGGCCTCTTTCCATTATTTTCCTGATTCTTCTATGATTGAAGAACCTTCTTATCCTGTGAATCAATGTGAGAATGAACAATACTTTGTTTCCTATGTGGATAATCCTTAAAAGGACCTTTCTAATTTGACCTCCTCTTATGAGAGTTTTCAGAAGATGGTGTTTCTCATATATTCTGAGTAGCGGGCTGACATGGACAAAAGAGATCTTAAAGAAAAGAGCTGGATTGTTTTATGCACAAAGTATATTCTTTTTTAACTTTTTCAACAGGTATTTAACACCCAGTCACATTTCCCCCTCCACCTCTATGCACAAACAACTGAAATATTACAAGTTTTGCTGCTGGGAATATTGCGTTACAGGAACATGATGCTCAGAAAAAAGTAGTCACACTAGTCGATCCAGCAGAGAAATTAGGTGCAGTTTCTGAAATCAGGAGATGAAAATTGAGAGACAAGAGGAATAGGCTTTCTTAATAGAAGGAAAAATACCACAACCTATTTGTCTTTTACTTCAATCCGCTCTCATTTCTGTCCCAGGAACTGCTAAGGATTATCCTCTGCTTCACAGTTGTGTTGATCCTTAAATACTGAATTTCCAGAGATAGTCATCCTAGAATAGTAATACATTTTCCCTCAAGAAAGATGACATCAGAAAAGTACACAGAGAAATATTATGGTGTAATCACATTCAAAATGTTCCTGAGCTGAGACTTCTAATCAAGTTTCCCATGGCGCTAAAACCGATACATTATGTAATATTGTAATCCTGAAATAAACGACTGCAATGTTATAGTGAGATTCAAGGAAACAACTCCAATGTTTTGCACAATCGCTGTTCATGGGCTATAAATCATATGATATTACTAACATAGATACCCGGCGATGCCCAGCTTAGGTAATTTGTAATAATAAACATTAAAAGTATTCATTGTTGGGTTTTGGATTTTAAGAATGGACCCATTAGTAAATGCATAAGGATGTGGGTAAACTACAACTCCCATCATCATCTGTTATTGTTCCAACTACACCATTATTCAAAGTTGGGCTTGTTGGGTCTGTGTGCCTGGTTTGGTCCAAATCCATTGTTGGTTGGGTTCACGGTGGTCTCTGGGAGTGGGTAAACTACAATTCCCAGAATTCAAGGTTGTTTACCTCAAACCCAGCCTATATTCAAAGTTGACCATATCGAGTCAGTGTGCCAAGTTTGGTCAAAATTCATCATCGTTTCAGTTCACAGTGCTCTCTGGGTGTATGCAAACTACAACTCCCAAAATTCAAGGTATTCCCCAAACCCCACCCATAGTCAAAGTTGGTCATTTTGAGTGCGCATGCCACATTTGGTCATGATCTATTGTCATTTGGGTTCACAGTGTTCTCTGGATGTAGGGGAACCACAACTACCTAAATTCAAGGTCAGTTCCCTTCTAAACCTCACCAGCATTTTAAGTTGATTGTGCTGGGTATCTGTGTCAAGTTTGATCAAAATCCATTGTCAGTTGGTGCACAGTGCTCTCTGGATGTAGGTGTACCACAACTTCTTAAATTCAAGGTCAACTATCTCCAAACCCAACAGGTATTCAAAGTTGGGCAGGTCGGGTATGTGTGTGAAGTTTGGTCCAGATCCATCATCAGCTGTTGAACAATCCTCTCTGGATGTAGGTGAACCACAACTCACTAAATTCAAGGTCAATTCCCTCCAAACTCCACCAGCATTTAAAGTTGTTTATGTTGGATATCTGTGCCAAGTAAGTTTGGTCCAGATCTCTCAACCTCTGAGGATGCCTGCCACAGATGCAGGCGAAATGTCAGGAGAGAATGCTTCTAGAACATGGCCATACAGTTCGAAAAACCTACAATAACCCAGTGATTCTGGCCATGAAAACCTTCGACAATAGATTGATCCATTGTCGGTTGGTGCTCAATGCTCTATGAATGTATGTGAACTACAGCTCCTTAAATTCAAGGTCAACCCCCCCCCCCCCAAATACTCCCAAGGTATTTAAAGTGTGAGCCAAATCCATTGTTGGTTGGGTTCAGAATGCTCTCTTGATGTGGGTGAACTATAGTTCCAAATTCTAGGGTCAACCCCGCCCCCAACCCTCCAGTATTTTCTGTTGGTCATGTTGCTAAGTGTGGTCTAGGGTGCTCTTTGGATGCATGATAACTACAACTTCCACCTTAGTGGGTTACTCTACACAAACTCCTCCAGTACGTTCTGTTGGTCATTGGAGGGGAGGGGTGTCTGTGTGCCAAGTGTAGTCCAGATCTAAATCCATTGTTGGTTGGGTTTGGAAATCTCTCTGAATGTGGGTGAAGCATAAGTCCCAGATTCTAGGGTCAATCCCCTCCACACCCCTCCAATATTTTCTGTTGGTCATGGGGGGGGGGGTCTGTGTGCTGTTTAGTCTAGATCTATCATCAGTGGGAGTCACAGGGCCCTCTGGAAGTTGAAGCTGTCCTGGAAATCTGCTGCCCACATACATATAAACTTCGACTTTTATTATATAGATAGATAATACTTAGATAGGGGCCATATAGCTTTCAGAGTGAGAGAACATCCCTAATTCATTTATTTTAATTTATAGGCCACATTTTGGCCACAAGGCTGTGAAGAGCAGTAGATTTTATTTATTTATTTGCAGTATTTATTCACACTTGCTTCAAGCAGACAAGAGTTTTCTCCTGCCCTGCACACTCCACAGATATATAAACCTCACTTGCATAGTTTCCAACTGACCTCACAACCTCTAAAGATGCCTGTCATAGATGTGGGTGAAACGTCAGGACAGAATGCTTCTGGAACATGGCCATGCAGCCCGGAAAACTCACAGCAACCCAGTGATTTCGGCCATGAAAGCCTTCAACAAAACAAGGTTTATGGAGTTTACTTACTTACAAAGTAAATACCACACAATTAAACAGGAAATAACTTTCAAACCAGGAACAGAACATTTTTGAATTTTGTTACATAGTGTGATTAATTATGGGAACTTGTTTGGGCAGGTTCTGATGAAGCCACCAAGCATATAAAGTTGGGAACAGTTCTCCTTATGACTGGACCGTTCTAGGAGTCTATGGCTGAAGAAAGTAAAATAGATTCCCAAGATTTAAATTGTTTTGCTGTATCTTACCATTGAGGGTGATCTGAACTAGACTGTTGGCTAAGTTAAGGGCCCACTGTTTGAGCTGCTATCCCAGGGCCCTTCCACACAGCCATATAACCCAGAAATTCAAGGCAGAAAATCGGCAATTGTCTTCTTTGAACTGGATTATATGAGTCTACACTGCCATATAATCCAGTTCAAAGCAGATAATCTGGATTTTATATGGCAGTGTAGATGGGGCCTTAGGGCCTTCCACACAGTCATATAACCCAGAATATCAAGGCAGAAATCGACAATTATCTACTTTGAACTGGATTATATGAGTATACACTGCCATATTATTTATTATTTATTTATTTAAAACTTTTATATCCCGATCTTTTCAACCTCCATTATAGAATCACAATCCAATATCGTTATCCATGTTCCGTTCCAATCGTCATTGCCAATTGTTGTAGCACTTAGTCAAACGCCTTCTCAAACAACCACGTCTTTAGTCTCTTGCGGAATGTAATAAGGGAGGGCGCCTGTCTGATGTCTACAGGGAGGGTGTTCCACAGCCGGGGGTCCACCACCGAGAAGGCCCTATCCCTCGTCCCCACCAGAAATAGTTTTCTAAATCTAGAAATAGTTTTCTAAGATCTACAGAGACACTCGCTGGAACACCTCAGCAAGCAAGAGTCCAAAAGTGGCAGGCTCAAACCCAGAACCTCAATCCATGGCTGATACAAAATGAGAGACTCCCCCTGGGCACACAGAAGACTGGGCAACTTAGAAGGCACTGAACAGACTGCGCTCTGGCACCACGAGATGCAGAGCCAACCTCAAGAAATGGGGCCGCAAAGTGGAATCCACGACATGCGAGTGCGGAGAAGAGCAAACTACAGACCACCTGCTGCAATGCCAAATGCACAAGGAGGACCTTCTTGCAGCAACACCAGAGACACTCCAAGTGGCCAGATACTAGTCAAAGGACATTTAATCAACTACCAAGCTTGCAAATTTTGTATTTTGTCTGTTTGTTTGTTTTGTTCTGTTAGAAATGTAATACAATTGACTGGTTGCCCTGACACGACAAATAAAATAAATAACTGGATTATGAGTCTACACTGCCATTTAATCCAGTTCAAAGCAGATAATCTGGATTTTATATGGCAGTGTAGAAGGGGCCTCAGAAGGCAGCCACAGGATTGAAAGCAGGGTGTACACTGAGTTTACCAAGCAGACTGGAGGGGCGATGTGCCTTCCCTTCCCATGTATTCGGAGGGTGGGAAGAAGTGCTGAGGAGACCCGGGGAAGAGAGGAGAGGATATACAAGGTGGGCTGCTGATTTAGGTTCGAGGTTGCTCGGATCTCAGGACTGAGGGGGCCTTACCAGCTTTGCCCGCGCGCAGGCAGCGTCGCGGCCGCGCCAAACAGTGAGGCTCGCGCGGGTCTCGCGGGATTTGCGGCCGGCGTGGGCGCGCGCGCCCCCTCCCTCGCGGCTGCTTCCCGGCCCCGCCTCCATTCCCTCAGAGGGAGGGAGTGAGGCAGGGAAAGCCCCTCCTGGCTGCGTCCTCCTCTTCCTGTGGAGGGCCCTCGCTTCCCGCCCCGCGGATGGGAGAGCCGCCGCGCCCGGCCTGAGCTTGGCCTCGCCTCCAGCGGGGCTCTTCGGGGACGTTGGCGCTTCGGCCCTGTGGCGGGGCTCCCGCAGTATGGGTAAGGGCCTGGCTCGAGTGGAAGCGGGACGCTTGGGGGGGAGAGGGAGGGAGGGGTCCCTCAGCGGCGGTTTCCTTGACGACGCTTCCTTTCCCTCCTTCCCTCCTCCGCGCCCCCTCCCCCTTGTTGTGTTGCGTCCCCCGCGTGCAGGGCGCAACGTGGCTTCCTTTGCGCCCGCCCCGCGGCTTACTTTCCCTTCAGGAAGGGAGGGAACTCTTTGGGCCGCTTCCATCCACCGCTGGGAAAGAAGGCCTGATTAAGGCATTGAGCTTGGTTATTTGTTTTTTGGGGAATAAGCGCCAAGGCACCTCTTTATACATTCACTTCCTGTACTTCATCCCTGTATTTTTGCCTTACTTTCTCCATCGTGTTTCTTTTCGAAAACCCCACTCGTGATGTTTGGGTGGCTTAAATGTTTGCTGCAAATGTATGTATCTCATTTGCAGCCTAGTGTAAACTGGGTAAACTTCCAGGAAGTAGTGCTGGAGGGCATGAAAGGGTTGGCTTGTCTGTGCCTGTTGGCAAGTGCGCCTCTCATTTGCTCCCTGAAGGTGGCATCCCAGTTACCATACATTAGAGGACATAACTTCTTAGGGCCCTTCCTCACAGCCCTATATCCCAGAATGAGTATGCATGCAGAGGTGGCCCTAGGTAATTTTAAATGGTAAGCAAACAGTATTTATTTTCTGTTCGTCGTGGGAGTTCTGTGTGCCATATTTGGTTCAATTCCATCATTGGTGGGGTTCAGAATGCTCTTTGATTGTAGGTGAACTATACATTTCAGTAACTACACTTGCTGTACTTGCTCCCTTGCCTGGCCCGCTTTGGGTCCGGAGGCGTGCCTGAAGACCCCGGCGTGTGCACCAAAAGTCACCCCTTCTCCTGACTTTCTCCTCAGCCATTGGGACCAAGAGAGAGAGCGAGAGACCGAGGTAGAGATGCCCACCTTTCCTGAAGGTTGACGCAAAAACAAAGGAGGGAGCGGAGGTGGGAGATACCTCCAGCCGGAGGGTCTCTCTCTCTCTCTCTCTCTCTTGGTCCCAATGGCTGAAGAGAAAGTCAGGAGAAGAGGCGACTTTTGGTGTGCATGCTGGGGTCTTCAAACACGCCTCGGGACCTGAAGCGGGCCAGGCGCGGTGGCTCCGCCCCTTGGCCTACCCATGGATTGGGGGAGAGGAGAGGAGGTGGGTGGAGCGCCGGGGAATCGGGAAAGGGAGCCGGTCATGGGGAAGCGATCGAACGCGGAGAACGATTGAGCGCCAGCTCTGCTCGCACACCCGGTGGCCAGGTGGAGCAGGAACGAGAGGGGCTAGGCGAGGCTCAAGGGCCTGGCCCCTTTGGGAAGAGGATCGCCCGGCAGCAAGGCAAGAAAGCCGAGGCTCCCCCCGGACTGCTAGGGCTGTTGTGAGCTGAGGGGACGCTCCTCAAGTGGCGGTCGAGGGGCATTTACAGAGGCGCCTCTGCGCCCCTGGCAAAAAAAAGTGTTCTGCGACCGCTTACTTCGCGTAATGGACGAGCCGCCCCTGTATGCATGCCCAGTGTGGAACACATCTCACCATGCTCAAACAGTGGATGTGGCTCTTAATGAGACATGGCGCATTATCACGGGGTGTCTGCGCCCTACACCACTGGAGAAATTACACTGCTTAGCCGGTATTGCACCACCTGACATCCGCTGGGAAGTAGCAGCCAATAGTGAAAGGACCAAGGCAGTGACATCTCCAGCTCATCCCTTGTTTGGGTATCAGCCAGCATGTCAACGACTTAAATCAAGAAATAGTTTTCTAAGATCTACAGAGACACTTGCTGGAACACCTCAGTAAGCGAGAGTCCAAAAGTGGCAGGCTCAAACCCAGAACCTCAACCAATGGCTGATACCAAATGAGAGACTCCCCCTGGGCACACAGAGAAACTGGGCGACTTGGAAGGCGCTGAACAGACTGCGCTCTGGCACCACGAGATGCAGAGCCAACCTTAAGAAATGGGGCCACAAAGTGGAATCCATGACATGCAAGTGTGGAGAAGAGCAAACCACTGACCACCTGCTGCAATGCACCCTGAGCCCTGCCACATGCACAATGGAGGACCTTCTTGCAGCAACCCCAGAAGCACTCCAAGTGGCCAGATACTGGTCAAAGGACATTTAATCAACTACCAAGCTTGCAAACTCTGTGACGTTTGTTTGTTCTGTCAAAAATGTAATACAAATCTTCGGTTGCCTGACACGATAAATAAATAAATATCCCATAATATTAAGGCAGAAAATCCCACATTATCTAAGTATGGATTCAGAGAACCCTGTTCAAAGCAGATGATGTGGGATTTTCTGCCTTGATATTCTGGGATATAGCACTGCGGGGAAGCGCCCTAAGAGAAGAGCCAAAACACTGTTTAGACCAGAATCTCCTCTTGTAGTATGTTGTTGTTCATTCGTTCAGTTGTTTCCGACTCTTCGTGACTTCATGGACCAGTCCACGCCAGAGCTCCCTGTCGGTCGTTACCACCTCCAGCTCCTTCAAGGTCAATCCAGTCACTTCAAGGATGCCATCCATCCATCTTGCCCTTGGTCAGCCCCTCTTCCTTTTTGCTTCCTTTTTCCCGAGCATCATTGTCTTCTCTAATCTTTCCTTTCTTCTCATGATGTGGCCAAAGTACTTCATCTTGACCTCTACTATCCTTCCCTCCAATGAGCAGTCGGGCTCTTATTTCCAGAAGTATGGACTGGTTGGATCTTCTCGCAGTCCAAGGCACTCCAACACCACAGTTCAAAAGCATCTCTCTTCCTTTGCTCAGCCTTCTCTATAGTCCAGCTCTCACATCCGTAGGTGACTATGGTGAATACCATTGCTTTAACTATGTGGATCTTGGTTGCCAGTGTGATGTCTCTACTCTTCACTATTTTGTCAAGATTGGACATTGCTCTCCTCCCAAGAAGTAAGTGTCTCCTGATTTCCTGGCTGCAGTCTGCGTCTGCAGTAATCTTTGCACCTAGAAATACAAAGTCTGTCACTGCCTCCAAGTTTTCTCCCTCTATTTCCCAGTTGTATACAAGTATGTATATATAACATTCAATAACCAGCAGTCAAAAAAAGACTAAAAGTCAAAATAGGAACATGATATGCTTTTAAGTATTAGGAAACATTGTCAAAAGCAAAGTTTTTTTTTAAAAAAAAACTATTGAATGTGATGGCTAAAACAATATTAAACATTTATATACTTAAATGACAAAAGTAAATACTAAAATAAGTATTAAAACCTTCTAATATTGTGACAGTATTTTGCACTGACAAGCTATTGCTACTGCACAAAAGCTAGTAATTTTGGCATGCTGATCAGCCAGAAGATAATTAACGTAAAATATTATGGATCTCCCTGGTAAACTTTCTAGGATTGTATTTATAAAAAAAAATTTCAAAGGTCTCGGTAAAAAGTAAAATGTGCCCCACAGTTTCCCCCTTCTCACCCTCACAGGTACATAGGTGTTCATCATTTGGTACTTTGTTATATTTTCCCTCTAGTAGAGCAGAAGGGAAACCAAATGTAATTATGCTAGGCAATGGTTTCAGTTGTTAGACTGAATAACCTGCAGTCTCTGACCTGCCAGGAAAAAAGAGATTTGCCAGTGCATAAAAACAGCAGAGCTTTAGAAGTGTTTTTATTTCAGTGCTCCAAAAACACAATCTCTCATAAAACAACTTGTTTCATATAATGCACTTAAGAGACAAAAATGAAATTGACTTTGATGGAAATAACATATTTGGTTTACTCACAACTTTCATGTGGCCAACATACACAGGTACAAAAACATATTTCAGTTTCAAATATCTTTGAGATGGTTCCCAGTGCCAGCCAGCCAGCCAGGAAATCTCTCTTGTAACAAAACAGCTATCAACAGGTCACATTTGCCAAAAGGAGAGAGAGAGAGAGAGACCAAGAGAATGTGGTCTGCAGCCCCATTTATAACTTTTCAGAAACCATAGAGTAAACCAAGCTGCACACCCGAACATACAGGAAACAGTAAGCAACAAGATCATAGACAAACAGATTACTAGAGAAGGCTTGATAAAGGCTGTTATTTCCAACACCAGAGCCTTCAGGTGGGGCATCTTCTCCTTTGGAAGAGACCTCATTTTCTCCAGTGGGACATTCTGCCCTATAAATTTATCAGCTGTGGAAAGAAGCCCATGAAACTTTTCAGTTGCAAAGATATTATACACATTGTACAGTGGATAAATGATACAAACTTTTGAAAATAACATGGTGTAACAAAATTTGAAAATTTTTCTGTTCCTGGTTTGAAAGTGTTATTTCCTGCTTAATTGTGCGGTCCTTACTTTGAATGTAGTTGTTCTACTCCGTAAACTTTGTTGTTGTGGCTGCTACAAACTAGGTTGAATTGGTTAACACTCTTAGTAGATATTTGTTGAAAAATTGTAACAAAGTGTGCTGCAGGATGCCCTGCAAAAACAAAGTTTTTGCAGTTTAATAAACTTTCCCCATGCTTTATGACAAAATTAATTAGGAAATGACATTTATAGAGATTAATGTTGTACGGAGCCAGGAAAAAACAAGAAATAAAAAAAACAAACAGGAAAAGGAAAAAAAAAGAGGGGGAAAAAGAAGAACTCTGGGTGAAGGGTGGGTCCTGCCAAGAGCACTTTCAGTGTTAACCAGATTGACCATTGTCACCCACATGCCACAATGAGGCCACAGGTAGGAGCTGGTCAACTCGTGCTCGAAATAGAGACAAATGATCAGCTCGAATATGATCAGCTCGAAAGCTGAGGAACGGATTGGCTAAGTGCTAAGTGCGTAACATTTATAACCCAGGAACAAAAATCGTGTTACATAGTGTAATGCAAGCAAAGAGAATATGAATATGTTGTCAAAGGCTTTCATAACCAGAATCACTGGGTTGCTGTGAGTTTTTCAGGATGTATGGCCATATTCTATTAGCATGTTCTTCATACGTTTCGCCTGCATCTGGCAAGCATCCTCTG